GCGCCTCAAAATAACCATATCTCCTTGAGGAAACATTTTTTCATTTTGGTTTGTTGTACAGTGTTATGAGTCGCATAAGGAAGCAGTTTTCGCATGATTTGGACCATGGCCCGTCTTGAAAAGGGGTTCAAACCTAAGGAACAAACATTTCCGTCACATTAATGAGTGTGTCTAACCTCCGAGAGTATTTTAACCCCAAAATCTCAAAATTTAAATAAATGGACCATTGCGGTTTTTGCACGAGCGTATTCAATTTGTAAGAAACAAATTTTCATATAATAAAACTGATGTCATGTTGCTCCAAGGAACTGTGTATTAAATCAGGAGGAACTATTTACATCAAGGGTGCAGAATCTTCCAAGCTTCCCTATTTTCATGCACCCACCCGCGGGCTTTCCCCATTTTTTTTAAATCTGTTTTTCACAAAATTGCCCACCAATTTAAAAAAAGATGACCTTTTTCCCTCATTTTCTGTGACTTTCGACCGATGACCCTCCAAAATTTTCCCTCTTGCCACATTTTACGTAATAGGACATTTTCTGCACCCCCGATTTACATACGTCCTTGGTTCCTTTTGATTTCATTTATCTGCACATACCTAGTTCCTTTTGGTATGAGTACGTCCAAAACAACAGGTATGTACAAATTCTAGTCTTCTGATACAATTTTAGGTAAGGGAAAATGCATTGCTGTTGAAGCTAATCAAAAAACACATAAATGGCTTCAATCCATTTTACTTTCCACCCCTGGTCCTAGAATTGGTTTTCAATTTAAGGTGGAACTCTACTACTGTAGTTCAGAAAACCGCTACCACGTGGCGCTTCGCCGAAAGCTGTCGTTTTTCCCCATGTTTTTTTATACATCTGGGCGATTTGTTTAGACATAAGCCAAACTTGCGAAATTTTCCTAACGTCACTACAAGGATTATCATATGTATGCTGAGCAGTCACGTACAATCAGTTTCTTTCTGCGACTATTATTTGCGGAAAAACTATGCACGCGCCGATGAAAGTTCCGATTTCTGCGCATTTCAAAATTCCCGCGCGAGCCTTTACAAATTCGGCCGGTTAGCGAAGAGAGTGGGGATCTGAATATTCATGCCGAGCAATGGGGTTGTTGCATGACTAAGGGATTTGAGAATAAAAAATATGTAGTCATAGAACTTTTCGCGATAAAAACGATGGTAACGTTCAAAAAGTCAAAAATCGAGTCCTAAAGCCCGACAAAGCCCGTCAAAGTTCCACCAAATTCAAGTTGAAAATAAACGATTTTCATTGGCTGCTGTACAATTGGTCAAACTACGCGTCACAACGTTTGGGTGTCTCTCCTCGCCACCATTACCCACATATTGACCGCGTGTTAATCTAGTGGAGGTTAAGTTCATCTCGAGCTCCGATTGGCTACGATGATGAGCGGGCGCTGCCAGAAAAACCCGAGCAGGGCCGGCTGCGGTGCACCACCCTCCGCTCACCGCCGAACGGCTCCTTTGCCCAGTGAAGATAACGGGGAAGGGGCGGTTTTTAACTCACTTTTCGACCCAGACATCGTTATGAAGAGCCAAAAACCTAGTCCGTAAACGATTCATCTTATCTTTAGGTATCCATCAAGATTAAAAAGTGAGTTTAGTCGGATAACTCGATTTTTCCTGATTTTTTAAAAGTAAAAACTCATATTAGCTCGCAGTTTAGATAGAAAAAAACCCGTGGCCGTGCGTTGTGACGTCAGAGTCACGTGATTTAGAGGCGCGGGAAGGAACCCCGTTTCAAATCGTCTCTGAACTTTCGACGCTTTTTCTCCATGTTCCAATCATCAGAAAATTTTAAAAAAATACCCTAACAATCAGGACACCTCCAACTTGTAGAAACTGAATTTTAAAAAATGCATGCAACAACCCCATTCTCTCCGGTATCTGCCCTTTTCTTCTCTCCCTTCCCATTTCTTTCTCTCACAATTAGCATCACCCCTTCGGACGGAACTAAAGCCTGATGCCCCTCCCTAGGCCTCGTCTCGACGGCGCAACTGTTGAGGGTACTTTGTTCAACTGTTGAAGGAAGGAGGTGTTGCAAAAATGTTTCACTTATAAGTGAAACTTTCAAGGTCAGAAACCTGGAACCTCGAACAGTTGTTCACCTCCGTGTTCTGAATTGATAAATGCTGATTACGCGTGAAGCGGGAGTTTACTACAGATGTTTTATTTCTGAGCGGTTATTATTTAGTAATATTTGCATACATTTCAGTATCAATTTTTTATTTTCGCCCGTAGCATATGTTAAGGTCGATGGGAGAGCAGAATGAACAAAGCCCGATTTGACGACACAACATTTTATTCTATACTTCACAGAGCACACAGACCGAATAAATCCCGACGAAACGCACTCTCATTCCTCACCATCTCGTTGCTTCCCCCTCCAGTGATCAGCCGAGCAATCCACTCCTCTGATTGGCCAGGGGAACTCCTCGAGTGATGCTTCAAAGCAAACTCGAAATTTCCCCGGCCAACAGAACAGCCGTGCCAACTGAACAAAGGAGAGGCAAGCAAGATCAGGGAGTCGCTGTACTTGACAGCATATCACCACAGCAGGAAAATAAAATTGTATCGAATATATTTTCTTTTCATCCATATCCGTGTTATGTTGCTGTTTTTTGTTTTATACCTGGTCGAAATAACGCAAAATATTCACCTCCCGTTCATAAGTATTAGTTCAGTTACCTCAGTTGACATTGTTTAACCTATAAAAATTAATGTTGTTCAAATATTCCCGCCTGAAAGTTTCAGGAATACATGCGTGTGCGTCGAGACAGGGAACTTCGGTTTGTGCAACAAACTTGCAATAGTTGCACCTAAATCCCTCTATAGTTGCGCCGTCGAGACAAGGCCTTAGTACCTATGTAGTGTCGAAGTGGCACCATTACCCGCTTCCGCACTGCGCCGCTGCGCTCACATTCGCTTCTTCCTTGCCCTCTAGTCGGGCGGATTAGCATAACTATCGTGCATATCTGGGAAAAAAGCATGAAACTTTCAGAATCAAAAAACAAATTTAGCCTGGGTCCTCAGTTTTGTAGGGTCCCATGGGGGGGGGGGGGGGGGGGGGCCTTAAACCATAAAAAGGTTTCTTAGTCAAGAATTGCGTTCATAAATCGGAAAAAACTGACTAAACCGGCGGAATTTTCCACTCTAAAGTAACCTTCCTACAAACTGGAGTTACTTCACCCACTAACACCCCTCCCCCAATTTTCATTAAAGGACTTGGGGGAGGAGGGATTCCCTACATTTTCAGCTCGGTTTTTTCCTGTGATGTGTGAATAAGGAACGAAGTAGTGGAGCGGTTTTGCCGGCCGATGAATCGATTGTTCATTATCATATTAATTTGCATGATAAATCCTAAAATTCGTTATAGATATTCGAAGGGGGGGGGGGGGGTATTCGAATAGCCAGTAGACACTCGGACTAGGGCAGCGCAGCGCGGGCGCTTCCGTTTACTATGCCGAAACTTTGCACTCTGTTATCGTTCGTTCGGTGAAACAAGTTTACATATCAGGGGAAGGGGGGTGGCCGATCTCCTCCAATTTCTCCCAAAAATAAGAAAAATGAAGGCATGGCTTAAAAGAACGCTCTGATATCGGCGATGCGCGTGATAATCGTGATATTTTTACGCTTTGGCTATTTTTTTTCAAAATTTTCAACAGCTCAGAGCGCACTTCTTGAGGGTAAAACTGAACAGCACGATCAGAGGATGTTATTTCAGCTTTATAATGGCGGTTTCAAACCAGCTATATCACCTAAAATGTCTTTAAGAGCATGCAGGGTGCGGCTTTTACGATGTGTTAATCACTTATCATGGGTTTTTTCATAATTGGTTTTTTATTTTTCAAAATTTCCTCACAAATAACATACACACCACCAGTTGCTCAGCAAGTCTTTCACTTACATCATTGTTTCATGTGAATCTACGAGGGGGACCCAAAAAAACCGGTTTGCTGTAACTTGGCAACGATAGAAAACATTCGGGTTCCACCGCTAGGAGGTGTAACTAGGAACTATGAAGAGTCACTAGGCCAAATTTCGACATCGTAGCTCATTTTCTTTCATTTTGACGAGATTTGGCATAAGGGATTCTTCAGCAAGTTCGTCGTTTTTAAAGATGGGTCAATTTCAGTGTAAGTACGATTTCTCGGTTTAAAAATGGTGCTGTATCGCCCAAAACCCATGTTCGGCTCTAAACCATTATAGGCATCGGCTAGAACCGATGAAAACATGAAAACAATCGCGTTTTTGTGAAAGAAGATGGTTAAGTATCATTTAATTAACCAGTAGATATCTATTAAATGTAATACAGACGTATTCAAAACATTGCTGTTAAAAATTTGGGCCTAAAATGCGTTCTTGCCGAATTGATCCTCCATTTTGCGCTCTAGCCGGTGACGGCCGCCTGGCGTTCAGCCGACGTTCGAACAATAAATCACACTTTGAAAAAACCTTTGTCCCGTCATGTTATAGGCAAAGCATGTTCCATGCGAGACTCACTCCAAAAATTGACAGCGTTTAGCCGCGCATAGCCTGTGAAAATCACCTATCTTCAAAAACGACGAGCTCAGCGAATATCCCTCACGCGAGGGCTCGCCAAAACGAAACGAAATGTGCTACGACGTCAAAAGGCCTGGTGACTCTTCATACCTCCTAGTTACACCTCCTAGCAAAAGAACCCGTTTATTTTCCACCGTTGCCAAGTTACAGTGAAATTCCAGGGGTATTTTAGTCTCCCCTTGTACTTTCTCATTTTTTACCATTTTCATATACTTTGTAAGTTTTGAGCCGGCCTGTTGGAGTAATTTCATCTATTTCAACTGCTGTGTATTTAGGAAGGGACAATAGTTTGGCTTTGTTCATGGACAGGGCAATAACGTCGATTTGGTATTATATGCAGAATTTTTTTTTTTTTAATTCATGTAAATTATAAGTATAGATGTTACTGTAATCATAATTTTATACTGAATTTTAGCCTGTACCAACACGACAAAGGCGAGCTTTGCTCCGAGCTGCTGGTATTCACAAGATAGACTCAATGGAAAAGGACGAATGCCGTGATATTAGAACCTCAAGGGAATTTTGTGGTTGTTCCTGCCAAGGTTTCTGTGATCCTGACACCTGCACTTGTTCCCAAGCTGGAATTAAATGTCAGGTATGTGAAAAAAAACAACTTATTGATGAATTTGCTACTTCAAGCATGGGCTTCAGATTGGCCCTTCACTTTGGTTGTAGAGAGAGGCTTCTTAGGCGATACTGCTGACTTTAACAACAGTGATGCTGCTACAGAGACAGTTGGTCTCTTGGTGGCAGAGAATAAACCAAAACCAAGGAAAATGAAGGGAATTTTATTTGACAGGAAAGAGTCATGAGGAAAGAGCTTGATGCAAAAACTGCTTTTTTCGCCCCCCCCCCCCCCGAACTTCTTCAAACTTCATCTATCGATTACTCATACTTGAGCGCTTCTTTTCCCAAATTTTCAAACCCCCAAAAAAATTTTGTGGGGGCGCTAGGGGAGAGTGGAAGTCAAAACCTGTGAACCTCGATACCTCTTGAACGAAGAAAGACATCGAGGTCCGGTTTGGACGAAAAACCGTCTACAAATGCATACTTTAAGATTCTAATGGTCAAAACCCCGATATCACATTTTCAAGTTAATATACAGGGTTATTCAAAAGTCAGGCACCACTGGCCATGAGGGGGGTGGCCATTTGAAATTTTTGAGTTGCTCCCCGCCCCCTCCCCCCGAAGGAATCAAAACCTGGAAAGTACCTAAAATATTTCCCCCCTTGATCTAAGGAAAAACGCCTTAAACCGCAAGTCGATATCATAATTAGAACTGAAGTTATGGCCAGTGGTGCGTGACTTTTGAATAACCCTGTATGTCCTTTTTTTCAGTTTTTGAGTCGAGAAAATTTCTTTTAAACAAAGAATTCACAAAGTACTCATTTTTTTGTTGGCTCCGAAACCAGTTTTTAATATTTTTCGTCTCTTTCTGCATCCAACGAGTGGTCTATTAGGCTGGGGTAATAAACTGTTCCGGAGTTATGAGCGATTGAAGTTGCCGCGCGACGCGTGCCGACCGATTTTCGCACGCCTAAATACAGTTCCAAAGCCGGTTTTGGGTGTTAATAAATCAGATAAAATGTTTAAACCGTGCAAAATACATTTTTAGGAACTCTTGAGGGTCGCTGAGTTCAAAAATTTCAGATACTTCCAAAAAATTCACGTTTAGCGCTACTCGAGTGGCCCACTGAGTGGCCGACCAACCGGCATTGTTTATGACATTGTCTCGATTAAGTTAAGAATATAATTGCCAAAAATTTAAAAATTCGAACTCTCCTTTCTTCACTATTTGTCCGGACGAAGTTTCAGAGGGTCCGCTGACCCATCTTCAGCAGCGATAGTGCGAATACTGCGGGCATTGTTTTGTCTGAGGATGTATTTACCAATTTTGACCGAGTTGCTATCAGGTAAAGTCCACTTTATTGCAGTGTTGTCATAACTGTTCATGTCGGTTTTATCAACGAGTTGAAATAAGGGGTCATCTGTGCCTTCAAAATCAACGTTGAAGATATGGTTCTTGTTTTTAAAAATCAACATGAGCTCTTCAGTGTTGAGATCTTTGTTACTTCCTACCCTCATCCTGGGTTCAAAGTTGATGTCGTGGCTGTTTTCCCAGTGATGTCTGGAAACTGCTGACTTCAATATCTTCGTTTTTCAAGTTTCTTTTGTGTTCAGTGCCCCGTACTTTTATGGTCCCTTTGGTCTGGCCCATGTAAAATTAGCTACAATCTGTGAACTCTAACTTATAGACGCCTCTGCTGTTTTTAGACCGTAGGCCAGCAAGGGGTAACCCCCCCCCCCCCCCCCGCCCGGTGGGTATTTTGAAGAAGGTGATTCTCTTGAAGCTCTCAACTAGTAGAATAAGAATTTTTTGTTTACGCGAATTCCATAGTGGTGGGGGGGGGGAGTAAGCCCCCTCTAAACCCCCACAAAATTGCTCAGAATTCAGACTTTTCTGCGAATTTTCTCATTTTTCTCTAAAAGGCTTGATTTTCAGGCAAAACTATACGAACCAATCTGAAAGCTCGTAAAAGGACTACGTGCAAAACGGGCCATTTGCGGCTCGGGGCGGATACCTCTGAGACTTGCCCTATTCATTCACCTAACAATGCCCCATCTTTTCCCAAAGTTTCAATCCTCCCAAAAATTTTGGGGAGACGCGGCGGGGGGTCAAAGTTAGAAACCGGCAAAATTTTCGCGAATTTATTGCTTGAAAACCAAGAAGTTTTTGAAAACACGGTTTAAACGAGCGTATTCAACGTGACGAGAGCTTTCAGAAAATATATAAAATCATAGGGTTTTGTCAATTTCAGCTCGAGTTATCGCCTCCGAAGCGCCGGAACGCTTTAAAAAGACCCCTTATTTTTTCACGTTTGGGCAGTTTTAAAAAAAAGCCATTTTTTATTTTGATGAAAATCTGATATGTTGTTTCTGACTCTCTGTAGCCCCTCTAGTTCTTTACCGCATGCTAGGGAAATGTTTTGGTCGCGAGTCTTAAGATCGGAAAGGAGCGAAGGTCAGGAAAATCGGCTATTTTGAACTGCGCGCGCGGCGTTGATCGGAAAGAAAACGTCCCTTCCCACTCAGTTCGACGAATCACACTCCTCAGCTGACCTCGCATTGTTGCCACATGTCTCCTGATCCGTCGCCCCGCGCATTTTAAAATAGCCGATTTTTCCGACCTTCGCTCCTTTCCGATCTTATAACTCGCGACCAAAACATTTCCCCAGCATGCGGTAAAGAACTAGAGGGGCTACAGAGAGTCAGTAACATGATATCAGTTTTTCATCAAAATAAAAAAATGGTTTTTTTTTAAATCTGCCCAAACGTGAAAAAATAAGGGGTCTTTTTTAAGCGTTCTGGCGCTTCGGAGGCGATAACTCGAGCTGAAATTGACAAAACCCTATGATTTTATACTCGTAACGTTGAATACGCTCGTTTAAACCGTGTTTTCAAAAACTTCTTGGTTTTCAAGCAATAAATTCGCGAAAATTTTGCCGGTTTTTAACTTTGACCCCCCGCCGCGTCTCCCCAAAATTTTTGGGGGGCTTGAAACTTTGGGAAAAGATGGGGCATTGTTAGGTGAATGAATAGGGCAAGTCTCAAAGGTATCCGCCTCGAGCCGCAAATCGCCCGTTTTGCACGTAGTCCTTTCGTTCCGGAAAAGTTGTATTTGACTTTGGCCATGACCCGCGGCAATCCCACAATGGGGTGCTTAAAATGTCAAAATATCTCAATTTTCCGCGAGAATGACTATTTCGCCGCGATTTCTCTACAGCCCACTAATAAATCCAAGAAGAGGACGGAAATGACCAAATTAGGATGCAATCCATAAAATATAGACCTTTAACGAGCAAAACACTTGTAGAGTTTAGAAAATTCAGGGTAGCAGACCTGAAAACGGCCCTAATCAATACCCTTCCTTTTACAAAAGCGAAGCAGGACTCGTTAAATGGAATTATTAGCTCAAACAGCACTAGGTCCATTCCCCCAAAACTTCAATTTTTTAACTATTAACTAACTGCTCTCTTCCTTAACACGGCAAATCTCCTTGCAGGTGTCTTCCTCAATGTCGCCCTCAGGCCTTGACGCCTCCCTCAGTTCCTGTACCCACTTCACACGCCATGGTGACAGCTTTATAAAATCTGTGTCAAATTTTTTTTTGGGGATTTTAAAAATACCAGGTTTTTTTTGTACTTTATAACTACAGTATACAAAAACTTATTTTCCATAGTGTATCGCAGACTTTTTGGATTTTGTTTTACATCACCTGGCTTAAAATTTTAGGCAGAATTCAAATTTATTGAGAAAAGTCATTTCCATAAACTAAAAAATAAAAAATTGCCCTAAATCCTGTACTGCAGTTACCCTGGCGCAAGGAGCAGTTCCAAGAACGAGAAGTAGGTTGGAAGATTGAACCATACCATCAAGAACAGAAATATGCAGGGTAGGATGGCAATCGACATGTGAAATGGAATCCTTTAGTATCAAAGGAGCTCCAAAGAGAACAAAATAAGGATTTACAACACGATTGTCAAGAGTTTAGTAACCTACGGGTGTGAGATATACCTGATGGAACAGCGGACCCGTGAGGTTTTAGAGGCAACAGAGATGGATTTCTGGCGTAGATCTGCTGGTATTTCCAGCAAGGATCGCGACAGGAATGAGACAGTATGGGAGATCATGGATGCCAAACAGACCATCGCAAATGACATTATGGCAAGTGGCGTTTTGACCAGAAACTTTGTGATTGGCCTGGGTGAATCATCACTTTTTGCCCTCATTTTGGGTTTTGATCATAAGACACATTTAATGCGTGTCCGTCAATGACTTTCATTCTTTTCCTTCTCTATAGGTAACCAAATTGATTTTAATTTTTCTGTGAACAGGTTGATCGGTTAAATTTTCCTTGCGGTTGCACCAGAGATGGCTGTGGAAATATTAGTGGACGTATTGAATTTAATCCTGTTAGAGTTAGAACACATTTCATACATACATTGATGAGGCTAGAATTGGAGAAAAAACAGGCACAAGAAGAAGAAGCAGTGAAGAGATTTGATCTGAATGCAGTGGCAGAATCTCAAAGCAGTGGACAACTTGAAGTTGCAACCGATGGAAGAATGGCTGCTGCAGATTTAAGTAGAGTTGACGGGTGTGCGGGATCAGGAGTAGAAACATGCTTCCCAAGCTACTACCAGGAGGAACTGCAGAGTTATTATCATCAACCATTTGATGTTAATCTAACATCAACTAATTTCAGTTATAGTTATGGACACTACGGACCAACTTACGGTCAAGCTGATAATGAGTTGCCACCCTTGGAGTTTCACCCCCATCCTATAACTTACGACCAATTTCCCTCCTCCACCTCGTTACTGTACAGTCAGCCAAGCTCGAATGAGCAATTGTGTTTTGCCAGCAACTCGGAAACTAAGTTAGAATCTTTCTCTGAACTTCTTCAAAGCCGTTTCCTAGAACCAAATGTTGCAACTACGAATGAAGTCCATGTCGACGCGAACAGTCAAGGAGAGAATAACCCAAACACATTAGAAGAGTGTGAGAATTTTGGTGAAATAATTAAAAAAACAATGGTAGAAAGTGCATCCGCCTAATCAATTTCAAAGATTTTCCTCCTTTATTTTTGCTGTATGTATAAATTATTTTTTGAATTATAATGTAAAGGGATGTGTATGTACCCGTACGTATGAGATTGGGTAGAGAAGGTAGAATGCACTTGTAAGTATGTGCAAATGATAAAAATTCTGCAGCTGCTCACATTTGCAACATCTTATTTTGATGCTCCTGTAACTGTTAGGTTCCTCTCTAAATAATTCACATCACTTTTCATCGCTCCATTAATTAACCCTAACCTTTTTGTAGGTAAATATAGGCTCTCTGTTGTTTATTTTGTGTTAATGTCTGTCAATTTCTTTATCTGAAATTTATTTGACGTAAAATCTTCATTCCTTTTTCCTCATAATTAAAAAAATGAAAAATAAATAAATAAAAAAAAATAAACCCTTATCCTTTTGGTCTTGCAACTGGGTTGAGATTTTTGATTCTGGGAGCTTAATCAAGCTGATGTATGATCAGAAGTCAAATCTTTCTAATTGAACTTCTCTCAAACAGGATGTAATTTCTTTCTCTGGTTTTTCATCGATTTTCTGTCCATTAAAAACGGAAAGTAGAATACGGTCACCATTTCAAAATTCACAGGTCTAGAGACATCATGTTGGTCTCAGTTTAAAGATCAGACCTCTAGTTTTTGATCAGGGTTGCTGGCGATCTGAAAAACCGGGAAGGTCAAGAAATTTGTTGGAAAAGTCATAGGGACTTTTGCAATGTGCGTTTAGCAGAAGTGAGTGTAATTTATATGAGGAAAAAAGCGTTGTGGAAGTTTAATTCGAATGTCAGGGAAAGTCAGGAAATTGGACGATGAAGAAACCCTGTTGATTTAAACTAGGGTCATTTTATTTGGTCAAGTATTCACAAAGTTATGACGGAGAGGTTGAGTGATTTTGACAAGTTCAGCTGTTTAATGTACCTATCATATTTCCCGAACGCGGCTCTTGTCAAAATTCGTTCTCTCAGAATATTTTTATGTCATCATAACATCATGGAACTAACTTAACCTTGAAGGGAATGTTAAGAACGATTCCATCAGCAGCATTGTGGGAGTTGAGGCATGTCTAAACAACTTGCTGAAAGCCGCAAGATTGTTCAATTTGGTTCCTTTCACTCATGCCTTACATCATCTAAGCTTTGAGATGGATTTTCTAATGGAGGAATGGTGTGCTTCTGTTGAATCATTTATTTTCATCTACAAAATGAACCAACATGTTTCCTTTTTTGTTGTGTATTGTGCAAATTCCCGTTGCCTGATTTTGGTCCTCCTCTTTTCCAGTTTTAGCCGTTAAGTCCCCTTTTAGATTCACATGCCGTATTGATTTGCTCTAATGCATGTTTTGTTATGCTTCCTAGAAGCATTGCAGCCCTTCTGTATCTTCCTTAATTTTATTTTGTTTTAAAATTTTATGGGCAAGCCCATTAAAAAATATATACCAAAAAGTAGAAAACAAATGACCACCACTCAAAAAGATAGGAGAAAGATAAAGAGAAAAAAAGTAGGGGAAAAGTGAGGTAGCCTAGTAAAATTGTGGGAAACGGATATCAAATCACCAAAAGGAAGTAAGCTAACGGATCTCATCATCAGTGGAAATGGGAAGACAGACTCAGATTTCACGATAAGTAAATCCTTAAATAATTTTTCAAAGAGAAAATGAGCAAATCGAAAAAATCAACTCTAAGGGAAAATTCATCACCAATCCCATTTAAATGTGCCATTAACAATCTGTTCACCAAGTTTTGCAACAAGTATTTTTTTATTTTAAAATTAGCCTTTTAGCCTAACTCTGCAAATTCTTTCATGGATGTTCTTGTGTTCGAAGACTCTCTCTTGCTTCCTAGGACATAACGAAAACTGTTCTCAAGTACCCTGTACTTCTGGCTGGTCTGCTTTTTATATTCAGCCGAAATGTAGTTTATAGGATTCATTCCTCATCTTGGTAGCGTCTTTCCGGTATTAGCACTAGGAGTCCTTCCTATATTAGCACTAGGCTGGTCCACTGTGTATTTCAAGCTGAAATATGCCTTGTAGATTCTTTCTTCACCTAAAGTGTTTTTCCTGCATTATCATTATGTCTCCCTTATACTTCTACATTTTATTGGCAACTTCTACCATCTTTCCAGATTGTTTTAGAATTCTAACATTCTGCTCCGCAGTCAACACATCTGTAAATTTGGTTTTCCTTCCTCCAAGATCTAAAATATTCGGATTGATTAGTTTGCATGTTGCTTTGCACTGAAGGCAGGGGTTTTTTACACTAACAATAAGTAGTGTTGCTGGCCTGACACACAGCCTTCTTTCCTTTCCTGAGCTTGGGACTGGCTGGAGATGAACATTTCGACACTAGCTGAAGTACTTGCAGACTCTACGAATCTGGAACTAATTGGAGAACTTGTACGTTGTAGGATTTTACCCTGCATTAAAGTTCTCATGACTTTTTCAATTTCTGACCAAATGAGATGATCTTTTTCTTGATCACTACTTGCTCCAGGATCAAATATTTAAAATGTGACCAAAATCTTGTCTCTAATAATATCAGTTTAATACGTGATGAGGTCAAACTAACCATTGCTTTGATTCAAGATTTTATAGGAATTTAATCCAACTCGTGCATTTTGGATCTTTGAAATCCATCATCAGAGTTACAATTTAAAGTTTACAATCATACATTGCTAGTTACAGTGGCTTCAATTGAGTGTGAAAAATTTAAACTGTAAGACATTGATAATTATACATGTGTAAAATTTATTGTCGCTTCAGAAAAACAGCTCTTATCACATTTGATAAGAAGTACGTTTTTATTTTCTTGTGACGTTACATTTCAACTTTTCTATGATGATGTATTTTTCGTTTTTCAGTATATTCCGATTTTGCTTCCATCACCATAGTTATACCTTGAAATTATCAGTTCACACAGTTCACACAGCAGCTCCCATTCATGAATGAAATTAATCAAACTGCATACCTTACAAATTCTTTTTAAACTCTTAAGTACATGGCTTTAAGACCACCACCTTCTATGTTTTCTCTGTTTCTCTGATGGCAGAGTGGTTGCATGTATTCCTTGTTTTCGTCAGTTAAAGTTAATGTTACTTTACGTTGTAATTTTTAATAAACTTTGTTTTGTTCATTGTTATTTAGACTCTGATTCCAAAAAGTGCTTCAGTAAACCTGCTTTTGAAAGTACCTTTCGACAAATCGGCCGAAACACGGAATCTTACGATTTTCTCAGGGATGAAAGAGGGTCTTCCCAGACACTCAAAACCGGTCATACTTTTTGCCTAACCCCAGAGAAATGGGGGAGGGACGGTCAAAGTTAAAAACTTTGAAGTAGCATAAGTTCTCAACGGTTTGTCGTAGATAGATGATGTTGGTGTTGAAATTTCCAAAAAAAATTGAGACTTTTAGAATGTATGTATGAAATTAATACAATTTTAAATTTTGATCCACTTTGGGGGAATTTTACAAGGTCATCCCCCTTTCGTAAGTTTTCGACTTTCGAGATTTTCGGTCGTTCGGTTCGCACAGAGCAAAATAAAAACAATTCTAAATGAAAGTTAAGCGTTTAATGTTTAAAACATGCCCCAATTGCTCTCTCGAGAATAACTGTGGCTTCTTTGAAGCTCAAAGCTCGTTCACTTCTATGAAAAACTATTTGGCCTTAATGGTGAGATCTGTCAAGCGCTGTCGCGTAGCTCAATTACAAAATTTTAAAATTAGGGGTACCCCAATATTTGGCTTCAATGGGTTGTCATTTCTAAACGGTTCAGTTCTGTATGGATAATATTATCCATACAGAACTGAACCATTTAGAAATTACAACCCATTGAAGCTAAATTTTGGGGTACCCCTAATTTTAAAATTTTGTAATTGAGTTACGCTACAGCGCTTGACAAATCTCCTTTTTTAAAGCCAAATAGTTTCTCATAGAAGTGAACGAGCTTTGAGCTTCAAAGAAGCCACAGTTATTCTCGAAAGAGCAATTCAGTAGCTTTCCAGAAAAAGGGCACTTACTGAAAAATTGCATTTTGAGAAAAACGCATTCGTAGTTTTTATTATTACTTTCCGACCACTAATGATGACTTACATAGAAACCTGGATCCTTAAATCAAAGTTTATAAATCCCAGGATGACTAACGACCGTTGGTAAAACTTGCTCGTCTTTTACTGTTGTGGGAGGAATTATATAAAATTTTCCCTTAAGTATGTGCCCTTTTTTCGGATATGGGCCAGTGGTCATAGGTTTTGGCTTTTTCAACTGGACTTATAGGACACGAACGAGTTTCTTAGCAAAAATAAAGTTTACTAACCTCTTCTGTACAATAAAAAATGTAAAAATTCTTCTTTGTTGTCAAGAGTTTCCCCCTCCCCACAGCGTGTTGAATGGTGACAAAAATCCCCCTAAAAATGAAAGTCGAAATTTTCCAAAAATTATGTGGTGAACGTTAAGTGGTATATCTGGCAACACTATTGTCAGCGATAGTATCGATTTTTATCGATACCTAGTGCCTGCACAGGTGGTCGTTGTCAGCCAGTTCTGAGCTCCTGATTAGAAGCCGATTGCAGATGACATCAATGAGGAGCATTCTGATCAATAGGCTTCAATGCCATCCTATATCCTTCCTGGCAGCTTATTTCCTACTGGTAAGCACTATTTATTTTTGGTTTTTCCAATTTTTAAATCCTTTTTTTTCTGTGGCAAATATTGCATTTTGAAATACTGCTCATTTTCAACCCCTTCTTCCACTTTCATGAAGTGGCCAAATAAAGCATTGAAAACTATTTAACTTTTGTACAAGTGGATATATTCAGTGGAATGTGTACTTTCAGAAAATCAACGGTTCATCTGCCCGATGTTGCCCGTTCGAACGAAAATCATGATTTTCTAGGAAAATGTGGCCATTTTTCAGGTGTTCTTGGGCTCTCCTCGAGGACAGCAGAAGAACATATCGCTTCCCCTTTCAGCAGTGGATGAAATGAGCCCTGAATTAACTCCCTTGAGGACGTTGAAAGAAAATACAATGGGCCATCCAACGTTTCCAGCTTGTACAAATACATATATTATCTATACTTTTCCTGACGACAGTACTTAAAACATACACAATTGAACAAAAATTCGCTGATTTTTCAACTATCATGAGTACTGACATGAAAAAACTGAAATCAATTGATCCTGTTTAAATCTGAACAAATCAATTGTTTTCAGTTTTTTCATAATGTTTTAAGTATACTGTCCTCAAGGAAAGTAGAAAAGATATTTGCACAAGCTGGGAAGGTTGGATGGTACCCCAAGTAGGCATTTTTCAAAGTTAAAGTTGCAAGAAGTTGAAACAATATTGGTTTAAAGTTGCAACTCTCAGTCAACACATGGTCGATAAGTGCCGATTTTCGGCGATCTGATCGGAAGAAAAGTTGCAACTTATAGCAATTGAATTGAATGAATCTTGCAACTTATCGACGTTGCCAAAATCATCCCTTTTAAAAATGACCATGTTGGTAACAAGTTGGGCTGGCTCAACATGGTAGCAACAGGGTGAATGGAACCTGTTATCATATATGATATCAACATGTTATCACCATGATATCACACGCTGAAAAAAAAGTTCCAAAATGCGAAATGCTTATAAATTTAGGCGCGCTGCGCGTTCTTAGGCATAAATTTCATGGCGGACACCAGAAAAATGCCGCTGAGAGAACCCGACAATCAATGTTCGCCAGAAATAAGCCGCGCTGCGCTCGAGTTCCCAAGCGGTCACCCATCGAAGTACTAACTGCGCCAGACGTTGCTGAACTTCGGTGATCGCCCGAGTGTCGCTGCCACTCCGCCACGGTCGCTCGCGTGGGGGAGGTGGCTAATTTAGCACTAATAAACGTCCCCAGATCTGATTCAATGATTAGAAGCAATGATATTCTTGCAATTTTGTACATCATTTAGTTTCACAATGAAGGATACGAAAATAATATAAAGTAGATCAAGTTTTTGAAAGAGAAGAGTACGAACGGCACATGAAAAAAATAAAATAAAATATGGACGGATAAATAGTTATTAAAAATGAAAATATTAAAAACGAAATAAAATAAATAAATAATACAAATTAATGAAAAATGAATAGCATTATTAATAATTTATTATAATATATTATAATTTATTACATTATATTTATTATATCAAGTAAAGACCAGTCTTGTGACGTCCTTTCCAGTTTGCGAAATAGGCCGCGATATTCAAATTTTAGCCAAATGTAAGGACCGGGAACGATATTGAAGTTGGAACATGTTTCAACTTAATTGCAACAAGTTCCAACGATGATAGCTCCTTCGGGGGAAAGAGTAGGCAATGTGCACGTCAATCTATCAGTTGCAAGAATTCAACGATTTTGTTGCAAGTTGTTGCAACCTCTGCTACTTGGGCAATGTCAATTCTAAAGTGCAAAGAAAAAATGGTTTCCTTTGATCGATTTTACAGAAAAAGAAGTAGGTCCGAATCGTCTCCGTTCACAATAATTGTGTCAATATTCTTACGAGCTACAACACCCTTTCACACAGAAAATACAGAGTAATTGAAGGCGAAGATGGCTGTTTTCTTGCCTCTACTACATCATGGTAAAAGGTATCTTCAAAGACTTAATTTTCTCCTTTGAAGGAGAATTTTGCTGTGGTAGTCTCAATGTCAGTGAGGATTATTACTGGAGCACATTTTTATTGAACAGTAAGATTCACGAAACTCTAGAATCCACACAGAAATCGAAATCGCTTTAACTAATCTGACAGACTTGATGTTAAACATTGTAAGAACACAAAACTAAACTTTGAAAGACATTCTGAGGCTACATAGGAGGTACTCATCTGAGGAGCTCTGTTTTCTGTTAGGAATGATGTCCCTTTCCCAGTTATACGTCCTAGATTCCATCAGGAGCATCGGATCTTTTTATAAAGATTTCATCCCTTCCGATAGAGGACATCACACAGAAATACCAACCCTTTTCAGGTTCAACCTTGGCAAAATAGGCTGGTGGGGAGCGACAGGAACTTACCCAGCACTCAGGTTACAATCAACAGCTAAAGTTCCCTTTTAAAATTGGTTAAGAATATTACGATTCTTCTGATAATTTAAAATGTATTAACAGTAATTGGTGTCGGGCCCAGTTTTGATCACATCCTTCCCCTTGTGTCTTGCTTTGCATGTGACTTATTAAGTCAAATGAGTTTTTCTATGTTTTTTCATTTGTTTTGGTGGTCGAGTGAGGCCAACCAAAGTGTTCAGTTAGTAATTCTTTTGAGTTGTACTTTAAGTTGTTATAAGTTGTGCTTCAGTTGCTACTCCACACAGGGTTGCCACAGTATTTAGAAAATGAAATTCCCTAACATTTCCCTGAAAATTGAAGATGTGACGGATGGTTAAGAAGGCACAATTGAAAATAGTTTTCAGGCAAAATTTCTTGATGAAAATCTCAAACCCATTCTTGAAAGCAAATGAAGGTGATTTAACAAATTTTCCCCGACATTTTCGTCATTGTCCCTGACATTTCCCGGTTTTCCCTAACTTCATAAAATTCCCTGACATTTCCCAGTTTTTCCTGACTGTGGCAACCCTGTCTACAGCACGAGCTAAGCTCAGGGTGGACATAGAACATTTCTGTAATCATTTATGTTTTTTTCAGAGTGAATAATAAAATCTAATAAAAAAAAAAACAAATAAAACAGGTGTTCGTTTAAGTGGCGCCAGCTTTCCAATTTACATTGCGACTCAATGTACTCTATGAAATTATCACGTATTCCGCACCGCCATTTTGGATCGAAAAAGTGACCAGAGCTCGGCGCACACCGGGCTCAGAGTTCGTCGACCAGAACATGATGCCAGCTCTCCCATTTACATTACGACTCTACGTACTCTGTGATATGTTGCTGCCGGACCACCTCCGCGTAGGCAATTTTTTATACATCGTCCGTCCGCAACTCTTGCTTGACCAATTAGCGCAGTAATATGGGAATCCCGCTCGCCGCGCACTCCCGCGCCAACGTGCGCAACCTTTTGCTCACGGCTCAATTTCTGTTTCAGTTCTTCCCTACCCAGCCGGGCCTTTAGCCTTGCATACTCTTTGCAGTGAGTTCGTAATATATTTTCAGAAAGTAATGCTAATTAATTATGGAGCATCCTTTCTCAGAAGGTTCAAGAGCTATGAAAAAGGAGAGGAGATTATCTTCTTGAGAGAATTTGTAGACACAAAACAGTAATCATAACCTAAATAAGAATAATAAATAGTGATTTTTGTAACAAATTTATTGACAAAATATTTACAATTAATTACAACTTTATCGGGACATAAATACATGATATTTTGCACAATCACGGTGAGAAAATTGCCAAAAATTTAACCAACTATTAAACCTAACTGTTTCAGTAATGCTGTGGGACTAGGATCTCTACCTCTAAACCTCCTAAATACTTCACTTGCATGACAGCTTCCACCAAATGTTAAAAATGTGTCTCTAAATCTGAAAATAAAAAAGAACCGTAAAATATAAAGAAAAATATTTCTATGTAAATAAGTACAACTCGTATGAAAATAAACATTTTTTCCTCACAACAAGAAAAGTTTTTGGACACCATACGGACATTATCTCATCCGCATCACATATTATTTTTACAACTCCCTGTTTAGTCTCTAATCTGTAATTAGTCTCTTATCCCAAAGCAAAAGTATGATTGTGGCATCTGCTAGATGTACAAGGGAACTAAATTACACCAAGAGACATCAAAGATTAAAGGGTTGAGCGGCCTTCATTAAAAAATTAAGGTAGTATCAGATTGTGCACAGTACTTTTAAGGATACATTTCTTGATAGAATTGAAAACTGGACCTTATTACGGCGCATTCTCTAATGTAAAATTCACTTGTATCAAATACTTCAACATAATATTTCACCTTTAAACTTGTTTTTCTCAATAAAATATTTGACAAAACTTTCTCATTTGTGATACTCTCTAATTTAGTTTACGACTACATACTTTAAAATTTTGAAAGAGATGTATGATTTACAGGCCAGGAAAGTGAAGGGACTCAATTTGACTCCCCCACTTGATGGAAAGCTCTCATCTTCTGATTTGGAAAAAGGCAATATTCTTCCACTCGAACTCACCTTAAACCTACAGATTCAGAATCCTGATTTTCTTCATGGAACGCGCTGGTCATGTCTGCAGCTATCATTTGCGACCAGATTCGACTGTAGTAAGCCGCAGCCCAGCCATCGCTAAAAACTTCAGAGAATTGACACGGCAGGCTATTCCATTTGGAGCGTGGAAAAGTATAATGCTGCGGCCATATTTCATTAACAATGTCTTTCCAAAATACATCCCTGAAAGAAAAAAATCGAATGAAAATTTCATGTGCTGTTGCAGGTAATTTTTTGAACAAAAACATTACAGTACAAATTTTTTCAATGTCAACTTTCTACTTCGTAATATAATTTAGAAACATCTCCCGACTACAGCTTTTAGGGCACAGACTGAACCATGCACTTTACAAAAATCCTTAATAAAAAAAAAAAAAATCGAAATCGAAAATGAGAGGGAAGGAGGGTAGGGAGCTTAGATTTTTAACAGTATACAACATCTATGAAAACAGGTGGAAGACAGTTAGGTAACCCAAAATTTCATAATTTTAAATTACAGATGTTAGGCTGCATTGCAAGGTAAGAAATGTTAAAAGGGAGCCTATAGCACATGAACTTCTTCTGTGTAAATACTGTTGGAGGAGTATTCGTTTCCGAATATCCACCATAAAATCTTTCGATTTTAGGAGGATATTCGACAACGCTACTCTCCGTCTTTTTTCGCTGATACACACCTCGAACAGCACATGCGCGTACTAGCGAGGATTCGCGATCGGCGGACGCCGCATCGCGGGGTCGAGAGAGTTCGGACAGAGTGTTATGGAAATTCGTGTCCGAAGGGAGCTGTGGCTTCGCCTGCGTCTTCGCCCCGATTTTTCTCCCTCTTGAGGGTGATTTGTCCACTTCATCCAAAGGAAAATAAGAGTTTTTTCTTTCAGACACCTCTCGCTGCCACCACCTCTTCCCGAAAAGTCCTCTCCTCCGTCTCTACCAGAAATTCCTCAGTCTACGCTACGCATTGCGGTATCGCGACAAGACTGAGTGCCTTTCTGATACGTAGGGACCATAAAGGCGGGAATCGCTCCCCACACAGTTAGCGGCGTCTTGGTCTTCTTTCGAGCAGAGAAACTTCCCTTTTGCTGATATTTGGACTCTTTCGTTTCGTGTCGATTCACCTTTAAGGACTCTTCCAAGACCGGAGTGATATTCCTCAAAGGATTCCCTGCAAACACATTTGTTCCAATTCGCATCTTGGATTTTTTCATCAAGCAGAGCACCAGGCCAAGCAGTATACTCTCAAGCTGAGAAAGTTCCTTTTTGCTGATATTAGGACTCCTTCCCCTCGATTCGCTTTTAAGGATTTTTCTAAAACTGGAATGATGTTCCTCTGAAGATTGGTCGAGAACAGGATATTTCAATTCGCACCTCGGATCTTTTATCAAGCTAAGCATCAGCCCTGCGACCGCACGTTCATGGTACGCGGATCGTTCTTGTTAATGTGCTGTTATTCGCTCTCATCCGCTCGTGGACAAGAGATTTTGATTGGCACATTCGCACCGAAGAACATCGCCTTTTAATAATATTAAATTATTTATTAAATTCATTTAATTATTAATTCATTCATTTTATTCGAACCGAAAATTCATAGGTGAAGATATTTTTCATACTTTTTTCCTCTTGCGTACTCAAAAATTTTTACTTCCAAATTATTTCAATTCAATTCTTTTTAGCATATTAAGATTATGTATGGGTTTGGATTGATCAAACTCGCATTTACGGTTTATATTGTTTTTATTCTTGACTATTAGAATTTGACTTTTAAGTTTGATATCTTTGCTCTCTTTTTTTTCTCTATTATCATTTGATGTAAATTATTGTCAGTAAGTGATATATATATATATATATATATATAGGAAATTTACCTTATTTATTCAGCTTGCAGCCATAAAAAATCGAAACATTAGTTCCTACGCATCCGCAACGTTAAGCAAGCTGTAATACAAGCTGAATAAATAAGGTAAATTTCCTATAAATATTACAGCCATTTTATCTTGATATATATATATATATATATATATATATATGAATTTTTGCATGAGTTATGTATATTTTTAAGACAAGAAAATGACTTCCGAGAAGTCTTCGATATTTTTACTGCGTTTTGACGATGTAATTATTCAGGTTTCATGAGGAATTTACTCCCTTTCTTACAAACAGAATTTCTGTTCCTCACCGCTTTTGAAAGGAAATCGGTTTCCGAACTAAATCGGTTAGTTCAAAAATCGGAAAAATCCAGATTAATAAATTTTCTATAGAAGTAAAGTTTTTATATAGAACTATCTTAGCATATTCAATGCTTTCAGTTTAGAACTTAATCAAGTAGCACTAATACTACATTTATCTCGAGTGTAATATAACATCTGAAAGTAAAGAAATCATTAAATCAGTAATGCCTCAATGGACCACTAGACAAGGTACGAATTAAAGGATTTTGATACATGTTTCTTAACCAAAATTTCACGTAGAACACGATTCGCGCAACTAAAATGACTGAAACCAACTCCTAACGAAGATATTAACGTTTTTATTTCACATTGGTTACAAGGATTTTGAACTGCCCGTTCACAAGAAACTCAAAGCTCTACGTGAGTTGCATCGCGCACTACAACGGTTTTAGCATTCTTCTCAATCGAGCAATGTTCATTTCCCACCATATTTGTTGTACCGCATTTGTTGTTCAAACTATAAGCAATTTGCTTTAGCTGAGCCAAAGCGTCAAGATTGAGGTTGCCAGATTTTTATATCGCAGAGACTGTCATGATAAACGTTTCGAGCGCGATGTGAATCACGTAGAGCATTGAGTTTTCATGAGCGGGTGGTTTGAATTTAAGCATCAAGAATTATTGAATATTTTTTTAAGGAGTTGATTTCGGTAATTTTCGTTGTGCGCATCATGGTTTGCGTGAAATTTTGGTTAGGAAGCATGTATCAGAATGCTGAAATCCGTACCTTGTCTAGTGGTCCATTACAAGAACTTGACATTGATGACATCCTAATTAAAGATGGCCTCTCACTGTACACAGTGCTTTAGTTCAATACCATGGTTATGAAAATACAGAATTGAAAATATGTAGAACAGTCTGGTTTCATTTTTTCTCGTAACAGGTACAGATATAACATTTTTACTTACGTTGCATGCATTCTAAGGTCTAAATGTGATTTGAACAACTCGTGGCATAATTTGAAACCACTCAAATGCTGCTGGATGGATTTGAGCGGTAAATTTAACTTCTCGCCAGTTTTATAATGACCATTGATACTTGCGAATACTGCATCATCATACAACCTTAAAATCAAAACACAAAAACAGGTTATGTATCGATATGAAAAAATGTGAGACTAATGGTGAAGCTTCTTTCCCTCTAAAAATTATTTTTTGTTGGCAAGTTCAAGCAATTTCAAACTGGATTTTTGAAAATAATTGTTGAGCATAATTACCGAGTGGGGGGGAGGGGTGGTTATAAAATGTTTTAATTATAAAACCTTGGTATTATTGGTGAAGTTTGAACAGCACTTACAATTTTAGTCTTTGAATTGGAATACATATGCATAAAAGCGTTATTACAGAGATGTAGTGGGATATTTTTATGAGTACATAAAGGAAAATAGTTTTCATCCATCAGTTTTAAAATTCTAATTTAGATAAATTTAAAAATTTAAATTCTAATCCTCCATTACTTGTAAGATTTTATTTTATCTATTTCTATGAGTACCACTAACACAGAAGCAGTCTATAGTACTTCTCAAAATCTGAGCAGATTTGCCCATACTCTGCTGCATATTAGAATTGACCGCTAAAAATTCTGAAAACTCACAAACTGTGTTTATTTACTCCTCATTTTCTAAAGAGGTCTTGACATTTCCCTGGAGAAATTTCGAGCATATTTAAGAATATTTTTCAAATTCCAATGAATATTATTTAAGATAGCTCAAAGAAAAGAAAAAAAAATGATGAGGAACTTTATAGAAAACTATTTGCACATGCACATCTTGAATAGGAAGAAAAATTTTGAAGTTTTATCCTAAATCTAATCGGCTTTGCCCCATTATAACTATAGTTCTTAATCAATTACCCTTAGGACAGGATGTTAGAGTTTTTTGCCAACGTGCGTAAAAAGTTCAGCTTTAAGGTGATATCTCATTACAGAGGGAAAAAGCTCACACGCAAGTACTATTGGACCGAGTTAAACAGAAAGGAACCAAACCACATCAGCTATTGCCAAATTTAATTGGGCAATTTAATTTTTTACATGAAAACGGTAGTGCAGATTTTCGTGCAAATTTCAGTGAATTTTCTCCATAGTGCGAAGCAAATTTCTTATCATTTTCACAGAAATCCGTATAAACATTCTTTCGTAAAAAATTGAATTGCCCAGTTAATTTTGGCAACAGCTGATGTGACTTGGTTCCTTTCTGTTAAACTCGGTCCAATTTTCCCTCAAAGAGATACGGGTGGATTTCAGCTAATGAAAGAAAATACGGGAAAGACGTGTAACTGGTTGCTCAAAACTTTCAATTATAATATTTTCTCTTGATGTTTGGTTTTTTGCGTAGAAGCAGGTCACACCAACCACGAAAAAATTCCTCAGGAGATTTGAATAACTCTAAACCTTTTTTTCAACGTGCTGAACAGTGAAAATGTCAGTTTTGTGACGTGTAACTTGGAGGTAACCAATATAGTCATTATATAAATAAACCAGGACCTTTTGCGAGCTTTGTCTAATTTTTTTTTAAGTCTTGAATGTATATTGTTTGATATAATATGCATTGAAACACCAGAAAACTATATTATTCAATTTAATTTGAGACTTGAAGCGTGTAACTCAATAATATGTCAGTTTGGTGACGCTATGCGTTTTAGTTTGTGGCCACTGAAGATATTGCGCTTGTGTGCAGATTAAGGCATGACTGAGTGCAGAAAAGGAAAACGATCAGACGTGCACTTGATAAGTCCACATATTTCTTCCAATTTCAGCATAATTTCAGTTTTTTCCATGGTTTTTGGAGTGTCTCACTTATTCAATGTCAGTTTGGTGATGCTGTTTTCCATCAAAACTTTTGGTGGAATATGCAAGGAATATGTGAGCAAACATCTTTTTCTTACATCTATAGGTGGCCTCTCGACCTAACCTCAATGATTAGTTTGATTTTGTTACTGTAAATTGGCAGAAAAAATTAATAACAGCAAAACGTTAGTTTGGTGACGTCACCAAACCTGACACGTCCAAACCAAACTGACATGTTAAGCTTGGTAAAGAAAAATAATCGAAAGATATTGCGATGCACGTAATTAAATGCTATAGTATGGAGCTCTAAGAAAACAGAAAAGTAGTATACGGGGTGTTCGAAAAGTCCCCCCCCCC